TTTAGCTGAGCAAGGAGCTCCCCTATTGCTTTTAATGTTGAATACTTTTTTCTGAGTTCAAGAAAATGATTTCAAACCATAGCATTTAAATTTTATTAAATTTACAGTAGAAATTATTTGAAATTCTCTCATTTAATATAATAATTTATGGTCTATAAAACAATCTATTTTTTTTTCTTTTCCTGTAGGAAAATTAAGATGTGAATCACATATTGCTGATATCCTAGATAAAGGATCCGGTTTAGTGATTCTTATCGATGGTAACTCATTTATACTTTTTATAACATTGTTATATAGATGAATTTTGCATGTAACAATACTTCAGAGAAATGAAGGTAGAGGGAACAAGGGGCCATTTCAGGGGATTTGAAACAATATAAGCAAAGCTCAGAGGTGAGGGTTTGGGCTTGCATAGAGACTGCAAGGAGCTCTGCTGGTGCAATGGTTGGAGTGCTTGCCTCTAGCTAACAGGTTGACAGTCTGAATTCACCAGCTGCTCCCCATGAAGAAGATGTGACAGTACACTTGTGTTAAATTTTACAGCCTTGGAAACCTTGTCGGTCAGTTCTACTCTCTCCCATAGGTTCGATATGAGTCGAGAGTGACTGCCACAGCAGTGGGCTAGGTTTGGTGGTTGCTGTTGAGAGTGCAGACGAAAATGATGCTGTTGGGAGTGTATTTAATCAGAAGGAGTATGTAGACAGCCTGCTGGTGACAAGTAGGTTATATAGTAAGTGTGGAGCCCTGATGGCACAGTGGTTAAAATGCTTGGCTTAAAACATAATTGACAACTGAATTACTCTTATCAATGATGGTTAGGTTTCTACCCTGCTCATGCAGCTACTTAGCTCAGAATTTGGTTTAAATGAAAAAACAAACAAACAAACAAACAAACCAAAAACACAACCAAACCAAACCAAACAAACCCAAATCAAACCAATTGTTAATTCATAGCAGCCCTATACCGGGTTTCCAAGGCTGGAACACTTTATGGGAGCAGGCAGCCTAGCCTTTCTCCCAGGAGTGCTTGGTAGTTTTGAGCCACTGACCTTGCAGCCTACCATGCCACCAAGATTGGTTTAAATGCTATAGCCTCATTTTATTTGTCATGGGAAAAAATGGTAACAGGATGATAAACATTTTGAAAATGGAGAATTCAAATTTTATGATATTTGGAATATAGTCTTTACCATCTTATTTGAAATACATAGGAGGTTGTAGTGTGTATGCTCTTTTGGAACTTGTTTTGTTTTTTACTTAATATATTGAGAACATTTTGATGCTTCTAAATATTCTTTAACTATATTGTTTTTGTTGATTATGTAATATTTATGCATGTTCTTTTTCTTTCCCCTCTTCATTCTCCTCTATCTTTTAGAAAGTTTTAAAATCATCCCAGAGGTTGCCAATATTTGGCGGGTTTTACAAGCTCTCTTTTAGCATTCCTGCCATTTTTTACCATTTGTAGCATATTACAAAAGCAAAGTTCCACAATGTCCTTCGCTTTAATCTCTCCTATTCCCTCAAGGAGTGACCCTGATAGTAGATACACATTAGGCTGCTAGCTGCAAGGTCAGTAGTTCGAAAACACCAGCTGCTCTGTAGGAGAAAGATGAGACTTTCTAATCCTGCAAAGAGTTGCAGTCTTGGAAACTCACAGGTGTAGTTCTTCCCTGTCCTTTAGGGTTGCTATGAGTTGCTATTCACTCAATGGCAATGAGTTTGTTTGGTATTCTCTTGAATGAGCCCTGATGGTGTCATGGGATAAGTATCAGACTCCTTACCACAAAGTTAGTAGTTCAAATTCACCAGCCACCACATGTGAGAAAGATGAGACTTTCTGCTCCTGTAAAGAATTTACAACCTTGGAAACCTTGTGGAGCGGTTTTATGCCCTGTAGAGCCACTGTGATTTGAAATCTACTAGACGGCATTGGAATTTTTATTTCACTGCCTTGATCTATTTTATTGCTCAGCTGTAACTTGCTTATTGGTCACCATCCTCAAACATCAAATTCTCTGCCATCGAATCAATGCTAGATCATAGTGACTTTATGGGTTTCCAAGACTGAAACTCTTTATGGGAGTAGAAAGCCAATATCTTTCTCCTATGGAGCACATTGTGGTTTTGAACTGCCAGCTTTGTGGTTAGCAGCTGAACACAGTGTATTATAATTTATTGGTAAAGCTTAGGTAAAATTCTGTACCCAATTTCCACATGATACTAAAGAGAAACTGACTTTAAATACAACTTTCTACTTTTTGGTATGCAATTCAAAATCATATTTGTAGTTATCTATGACCATATTTAAATGGGTAACATATAAACTCACTAGCAAATTAGTGATTAGAGATATAACTATTGTTATTTCATTTAATTTTATTAAATCTTATCGGATTACTATGAGTTTAATTCAATTTGCTGGCAGTGAGTTTTGAATGAGCAATTTTATAGTTGTAAAAATGATGCAAAAATAAATGGTGTCAAGGGGTGTGTTTGTCTGGGTAGACTAGAGAAACAAATTAGGGAGACATGTGTAAGAGATAACTTTATATCAAACAGCAATTGTACATGAAGAAAACATCTTAGCCTAGTCCAATCAAGTCCCTAAGTCCAATATTAGCTCATATGTTCAGTACCAATCTGTAAATTCTTCTTCAGACTTACACAGCACATGCAATGATGCCAAGTGCAGGAAGATCACAGTCCAGTGGGTGGAAAGTCTTCTGGATCAGGTGGTGGTGGAAGCATTGTAGTGCTGACGTGGGTCTCCACATGGCTCCTCTAGCTCCAAGGCTGTGACTGCCATCAGCATAGCTCCATGTGTCTTCTCAGAAGGATTGTCTCACAGGAGTGAGCGTGTGTCCCTCCTCCAGTGAGCTATTTATCTCCTTTGTGCCTCCAAATGAGGTCATCAAGATGAGACCTAATTGACAGGCTAAACTCCACCCTTCCACTCTTAAGTCTCAAGTTGACAACAGAGTTATGTAATTACCACAAGGGGCTATCAAACTGTTTATTTTCATCGTTCAGTCCTTGTGGAAGTTTGTAACTGTGCATGGCCCCATATGCCATTTTAAGTAAGTTGCCCCACCATTAAAAAACAACAACTCAGTGCCCTAGGGTTGATTCCAACTCATAGTGGATGCACAACAGTAGGCAAAAAAAGGATTTGAGAAGATCCTCCTTTCTGTGCATTCCACCCAGAATAGACAAGTGTGTCAGAGACATTTGATGAATACATTAAAATGAGTACCTTGTACCCCAGACTTGGTCATCTTTAATTGATAAAGTCCATTCACTAATTGGATTTTGAAACTTCTAAAGATATTGTTGAACATATCCTGGTTCATATCCAGGAACATATCCTGGTAGTTATGTCCTTTAGCAATAACTTTCATTATTTCTTTTATTTTTAGTCTATTCATATTCTGAGAAGGAACTTATATGTTATAATCAGTTCTCTGTCTTCATTGTTGGCTCTGGAGGGTTTGGTGGAAAACGAACATCAGACAAAGTCAAGGTAGGCCATAGTTTATGTAGAAGCAAAATATGTGTAGTTAAGGATCATTATTTATATTTTGAACCTCCTGTATTATCATACATGTCTTTTCATAGAGTAGAATTGAATAATCTATTCTTCTTTGAAGCAGAATATGTTACTTAGATTTCAAATGGCATTTATGTGTACATTTGTATATATATCTGAACATGCACATATAAACATTTTACATAAATTTTACATACAGAAAAGTTATAATTAAGTATAATGTAATGGAGATAATTGTGATAGTGTTTGTTTCTTTCTTGTATAAACTTTGTAATACTCCAAATCTTAAAAACTTAGGTGATTTTTTTAAATTAATCATTTTATTGGGGGCTTGTGCAACTCTTATCACAATCCATTCTCGAAACATTTGCTCTCTGCTTGAGCCCTTGGTATTAGCTCCTTATTTTTCCCCTTCCTCCCTGCTCCCCACTCCCTCATGAACCCTTGATCATCTATAAATTATTATTATTTTGTCATATCTTACACTGTCTGATGTCTCACTTCATCCACTTTTCTGTTGTCCATCCCCCAGGGAGGGGGTTGTATGTAGATCCTTGTAGTAATCGGTTCCACTTCTGCTTCACCCTCGTTTCGCTCTCCCGGTTTTGCTCCTCTCAGCACTGGTCCTGAAGGGATCATCTGCCCTGGATTCCCTGTGTTTCCCGTACCTATCTGTACCAGTTTACATTCTCTAGTCTAGCCAAATTTGTAAGGTAGAATTGGGATCATGATGTGGGTGGAGGAAACATTTAGGAACTAAAGGAAAGTTGTATGTTTCATCATTGCTATACTGCACTGTGTCTGGCTCGTGATTTTTTTAATAGATTAAAATCTTTATTTATTAAAATTCCTAGTTATTTTTCTTATATAAGTCAATTTTAGTTACGCTTCAATTCTCAAATAAGAAAAGCATTTTAAAAGGAGGATTTTATAATTTATATTTTTATACTAATTTAATCTTTTAGCTCTGATTGTTTTGAGATGTTAAAATTGTACTTTAGTAAATATTATGCTATATTAATATAAGATATTTCAAAATAATATTGAGAGATGACTTCTGTAGTAGTGGTGTCCTGAGGAGCTTTTTTGATCTCTTCCCAGTGAAATAACCATAACTAGTAAAAATCATAAACACAAACTAAAACAATACAACTATATAAAGTCAATAGAAATTATTCTGTGGACATACAGCAAATGGAAAAAACAACCACCCCCCCAAATAGTATTAGATATTATTATAATAACTAAACACATTTCTCACTAGTGTAATTATAAAAAGTAAATAATAATACTTAGCCAAACCAAAAACCAAACTCACTGCCCCTTTGGGTTTCTGAGAGTGTAGATCTTTACAGGGGTAGAAAACCTCATCTTTCGCTCTAGAATTGGTTGGTGGTTTTGAACTACTGATCTTGTAGCTAGCATTCTAACACAGTCATGGTGAAACCCTATGCCAGGGGGTTCTCGACCCCTTTGGGTGTGGTGTTGTCCAATGACCCTTTCACAGGGGTCGCCCGATTCATAACAGTGGCAAAATTACAGTTATGAAGTAGAAACAAAAATAATTTTATGATTGAGGCGTCACCACAACATGAGGAACTGTAAAGGGCCGTGGCATTAAGAAGGTTGAGAACCACTGTTGCCTATGCCATAAACTAGTTTCTATTCTGGTAGCAGTAACACTATTACACCAGTACTGTCCATCTCCTGTACTCTTTGCTAAATGACTTAATGACCACAACTTCCAACTGATGTGTGAACTAAAGGGCACTCAAAACTTTTCATAGGGAAAAATGCCCAGCTCTTTTCTTCTTTATGGTCCAGAGCAGCGGTTTTCTACCTGTGGGTTGTGACCCCTTTAGGGGTTGACTGACCCTTTCACCAGGCTCGACTGATTCATAACAGTAGCAAAATTACAGTTATGAAGTAGCAGCAAAAATAATTTTATGGTTGGGGGGTCACCACAACATGAGGAATTGTATTAAAGAGTTGCAGCATTAGGAAGGTTGAGAACCACTGGTCTAGAGAATTGATCTGGTTATATAATTCTTTACCTTAAACAGTATTATTTCAGAAATGTAGATGAGTATAGCAGTTAGGACATTGTTAATTTTATTATTTCCTGAACACAAAATACTAAAAAATTAACCTTTTTACTCAATTTATAGCATTTATTCTAGCAAAATATGGTTGTTTATTAAATAGCAGTTTGGCTAAAGCAATGTGCTAGCCAAATTTTAGTATGTAATCTCTTTTGATTTCAGATGGCTGTAGCCACGCCCAATCGACCTCCAGATGCTGTACTTACAGATAGCACCTCTCTCAATCAGGTAAGATTGTGTTTTTGAAAAGAGATATTTCTACTTGACTGATATTTATATTTTGTTAACTCTGACTCACCGACATTTTTAGAGTCCAAAAGTAGAGTCCTTCAGCATAATGGAAATAAAAACATGTTTCTGTAGCTGGAATTTATTATTTCTGGATTTTTACTTATCTGTATTTTTTGTCCATTAGAAATTAAAAAAAATTATACATATACAAAATGGCTTTCATTGGTTTAAAAAGCCGTATTTTTTCCTGGCAGTAAAATGCTTGTCTTACAGACTATGCAAGTCGTCAAGAATTTCACAAGTGCCTTAGAGAGCAGGCCAATGCCTGTCCTACACTCCTTTATCAGGACAGAAATCTGTGTTAGTTACATCGCTTGGATATAGATTAGTTTATGCTAATTTGAGAGGAAAGACAAAGCATCTTAGCTGTAGTTGATTTAATCTTTTTTGGTTTAAATAATTTGTTCTCTAGTAAGAGATAAAATGCATTTCACAAAGGCAACCACAAAGATAAGAAAAGGCAGTTTGTTTTTTAGAGACCTTAAGATTCTTCGTAAAGGTGGCAAAAGTTTAACCAAACAAATAGAACCTAGAATTTTTTTAACTTTTGAAATTATGCTGTGAGTGACCATGAATGATAACAAATCATTCATAAGTTCATTTGTCATATTTGATTCTCACTTCTGCAGGATTTATGTTTCTTAGCTAGTAGAAATACAGTTTTGTAAGCTAGAAAGAATGAAGGGTGGTAAGAAGGTTTCCAAGGCTTTATAATCTTTACAGAAGCAAACTGCAGAGTGGCTGGTGGGTTCAAACGACTGACCATTTGGATATAACAGTTGAGCATTTTAACTTGTGCCCCCAGGGCTCCTTGGGGTTACATGACATTCTTGGGTGACACTGGAATAGCAAGATGTATCTGCTGTAGATAAGAAAAGCTGAGTAGTTTCCAAGGTTAAATTTCTACACGTAGGGAATAAAGAGGCTTTCTATATTTTACTATTTCTCATATGAATAGGACTTTTTCTTAGCTTTAAGCAGGTTTTAATATCTTGCTGTGTGACAGAGGGAAAATTTTTTATGTGAAAAACTTTATCTGGTGCATTAGTAATGTTCACCCAAAATTTTGACAGATGTTCTTGATCATTTTATGTCATATTGACATCCTACAACATATACTGAAAGTCGTCTAATCGTTAGAAAGTAATTTATATAAATAAAACTTGGCATAAAAAGTTCAGGGGATTTGTAGACCCTTTGAAACGGGATCTGTGCTCTAATAGATAGAAATGAAGTAGGAGAAATGTGTCTGTTCTCACAGAGCTGAAAGAACATGGGAGTGTCAAGATAGATGTCTGAAATAAGTGTTGTTATTACATGTCATCGAGTCAGTTCTGACGCATCATGATCACATGGACAACAGAATGAAACACTGCCTCGTCCCACTCCGTCCTCACACTTGTTACGTTTGAGTCCATTGTTGTATCCTCTGTGTCAGTCTGTCTATTTGAGTCTTCCTCTTTTTTGCTGACCTTCTAGGGCACCTATAGTGAGTGAGTTAGTTTATTG